CTGGCACTGGCTCTGTCTGTTCAGGACCAGACACGAGCCCTCGCAGAGCCCCTCAAACCTTCTGCCATTTTTGTGGGGAAGGCTGAGTGGAGCAGGGGGAGAAGGAAGGTTTGGGCTGGATAATAACACCCAGCGAGTCCGAAATGGAAACCTGGGGCCGTGACCACCTTCAGGGGGGTTGCTCTGAGGTTCCTCCTGCTCTGCTCGTGCTGCTGCTCCTGCTGCAGCTGCTCCCCAGCACTGCAGACAACAAGTGCAGCCCACAGACAGCTCTTCATTAGCAGGAGAAGATGAAACAAATGAAGAATAATGGTCAATGTTAGAAATAAATTAACAGTAATTAATCACTGACTAAGACAATGTTGCCACATTAATCATTGCCCCTCGCTGTAATCAGAACATCAGCCAGGCAAGGCAGGGTGGAGCTCCTGGGTGTGGTGTGCCAGTCCTGCAGCCCCAGGGCTGGGGACATCTGGTCCCACAGCTGCTGCCAGTGTCCCTGAGGAGCTGCAGCGCAGCTCTGCTGAGCTGCTGCAGGCAGGGCCAGGAGCTCGGGGTCCCTGGGGTTCAGCACAGCCTCCTGCCAGGCTGCTGCAGCCTTTTGGGAAGCACAGCGTGGTGCTCTGGGGCTTTCTGATGTGTCAGAACAGAAAATGGGCAAAACGGGATGGAAGAGGAGTCTTGCTTCTTTCAACTCCAGTTTAGAACTGATGGCAAAGAACAGACTTTACCAAAATGAGAGGAAAATAAACCGCTGAGGAGGCAGGAATATTTCTGTGGGTAAGTGAAGAACCCTCAGCAGTGCAGTCTGATCTCACTCTGTGGGTGTCCCTCGGCCCTGCACAGTGGCACCGTGGGCAGCAGCACAGAGCAGGGACACTGCCCGTGGCTCTCCATGAGCTGGGGCAATCATTTTCCTTTCCAAGTGCACCTCAGTGCTGGCAGCAGCTGGAGGTGCCCGTGAGGAGCGCCCTGGTGGGCAGCAGCTGGATTTGGGCTGATTTTCAGCAGTTTGGCCACTGGGATGCTGCTGGCGGGCACGGGTGGCTGGGCAGGAGCAGAAGGTGCCTTTAGCAGAGTCTGCAACCAGCTCTGGCACCTGGGCAGGGATTCTGGTGGCTGCAGCCCCTGTCACACCCCTGAAGGACTCTCCTCCCCAGGTTTAAACAGAATAGCAGCAAAATTCTACTTGGTACATGTATATAACTTCATGTTGCTTTTAGATATCCTGCTAGAAACACTGTTAAAACATCTGATATCTGCTTTTTATGCTCCGAGTGATTGAAGCAGCCAGCAGTAGTTAATATTTGATGAACAGTAGGAAAAGATTTAAAATCCAAAAGGTCTCCTTAGGAATATAAGCAATGCAGCAAATTCTGTAGAAGCTTTGGTTGCTGTAAAAGTGCAGAATGTGCTCCTTTTGATTTTTAGTTGGGAAAGTGGTTGTTGGCAAGCTGGAGTACAAAGTTGCCACAGATAAAAGCTGGTATTTCAGCCTCACCTTTATGCTGAGTGCAGAAAGCAGCCCTGCTCTGCTGGGGCTGGCTGTGTGTGTGTCACTGTGGGTGACCAGTCCACGTCCCCCCAGAGGTCACCAGGCCCTGCTGGCAGCAGCAGCGGGGCAGGGACAAACTGGAATTTCCCTGGGTTTGCTGCCCAGGGTGCCCAGCAGGTTCTGTGCCCTGCAGCACTTGGGGTGATGCTTTGTGCTGCCCTGGAGCAGAGTCACAGAATAAAGCAGGGATTTATTAAAGGATCTCCTCCATGGATCCACCTTGGGCAGCACCAGAGCCCAGCCAGGGCTGCACCCAAATGAACCAAAATGGTCCCAAAATGAACCGAAATGAACCAAAATGGTCCCAAAATGAACCCAAGATGAACCAAAGTGGCACAAAATGAACCCAAGATGAACCAAAATGGTCCCAAAATGCACGAGCGCTCCCGGGGCTCTCCCTGGGATCAGTTCTGCTCCATTGGCACCTTGGAGTTCATTGTCCCATTCCAGCTCCAGCCCATCAGTCCCACCCTGCTGGTTTTTCTCTCTCCAGCCCACGGTGTTTGTGCTCCTGGGCTGAGGTTTGGATCATTTGTCCTTGGTGCCCAGCTGGAGCAGGAATTGTTTTGTCTCCCTGCTCTGTGCACAGAGCTCACCATACCCTGATATAAATCCCAGACCCACACACTAAAGCAGCACAGAATGTGAAAAACAGAAAAGCCAAACCTGAGGCATCAGGGATGAGGGGGCAGCACCTGGGAGGAAGCTCCAGGGCAGGCGCAGGGTGGGATTGCTGGGCTGTCTGCACTGATGGTCCTGGGGGTCCCTTCCAGCTCTGGACATGGATGGTTCTGTGAGAATTTGGCTTTGTTTAGGTTGAATAGCAGCTCTTGGGGTAGTTAATAATTCTTCCATGCAAAGTTCATTTCTCTGTTCATTCTTTTGGCTCTCCAGCAGTGATTTTTCTTCTGGTATCTGCTTTTCCTGTGCTGTGGGGGCTGCAAATACCTGTGTAGATATAGTGTGAATTCTGGGGACGTCTGCTCTCCTTCTCCCTGCTCTCTGTGGAGCTGAAGGTGCTGAGCCCTCTGCAGTGCTGATCCTGGGGCAGGGCAGTGCCTGTTTTTCTGAGGAGGCAGGAGAGCTGATAAACGCTTGTAGGATGACAATGCTCATGGAGAGCCATGCAGAGACCAAACCTGAGGGTGCAGGAGGTGCCTGTGCTCAGGCTGAGGGCTCAGGGGTTAAACAGACAGTGTTTGTGTGCATTGCAAATCTCTCCTCTCCCCTCCCTGGTGTCTGCAGTGAGAGGTAGGGCAGGTTCCTTCACTTCAGGAGCAGCCCCAGACTGTTACTCAGCAATTGCACAGTGGGCTTGGGGAATAATGTCCTGTCAGCCCAGAGCTGCCTTTGTTATCCAGGGGAGAGCAGCCCCAGCACTGCTCTGGGTCACTGCCAGGCTCCTCCACGCTGCTGGGAGAAGGGGAAGCAGTGGCTGCTTTGCTGGGACAGAGCTGAGTCCTGCCCAGGCTGGCTCTGGGGGACAGAGCTGCCCCTGCTCAGCGACCTTCACGCTGTTCTTCACCAGAAGGAATAAAAACTAAACCTCCTTTCCTTAAGCCTGGAGCCTTCCTCCTCCTGAGGCTGAGGAAGGCTGTCCCAGCTTTCAGGCAGTGCTGGCAGGAGTGGAGCCAACCTCCCTTTGCCAGCACACAGCAGGGCAGAGCGAGGTCCAAGGGGTCTGTGGGCTGTGTTTGGCTGCTCACAGGGAGGATGAGGGCTGTGCACACACACACAGCTGGCTCCAGCTGTTCACAGCTCGCTTTGGGTGGCTGGATGCCAGCGCAGGGGCTGCTCCTGTGCCTCGTGCCTTCAGGGCAGCGTGGTGAGAATTGCAGCTGCACCCAGCACAGCCAAAGCTCAGCTGAAGCCAGGTGCTTTAGCTGCTGCTGCAAGAAGTGTCGTGAGTATGTGAATGTGTGTATTTATCAGAAATTGTTTTTTTCTACAGATCCCACAAATCAGTTATGCCTCAACTGCACCAGAGTTGAGCGATGACAGGCGCTATGATTTCTTCTCACGGGTGGTTCCTCCAGATTCCTTCCAAGCACAAGCAATGGTGGACATTGTGAAAGCTTTGGGATGGAATTATGTATCCACTTTGGCATCTGAAGGGAATTATGGAGAAAAAGGAGTCGAGTCCTTCATGCAAATTTCCAGAGAGGCAGGTAGGCAACGCCCGTCCTCCCTCCAGAAGCGCTGCGGGGCTCGTGAGTGTCGTGTTGTGCAACTGTGATCGTATTTTCCAGAGCTGATATTTGATCCTAAAGTTGCTGCAGTTCTTTGCCATGGCTCCTGGATGTTGGCATTCCTGAATTGCTCTGGAGGCTCAGGCAGTGGGACCCCTCAGTGGGTTTTAGTGGTTTTGGGGAAAACAGAAATCCTTGAGTTGGAGCGAGCTCCTCCCGCTGCGCTGGCTGAGGTTCCCCTGTGCTGGCATGGGGAGAAGCCAGATCTGGCAAGGCTGAGCTTTTCTGGCTCCACAGGCTGGAGTTGTGCTGTGAGCTGCTTGCAGCCTGGCTGGTGTCACTGCTGGTGCCAGCTCTGGGCTCCAGCCTGATCTGGGTCCTTTGCTTTGGCATTTCCCTGCCCACTTTGTGCAGGCAATTCAGAACCTTTCCCCTGGAGGCTCGGGGCTTGCTGTGTGGGGTGAGGCGTGCCAGACCTTGGGTGTGAGTCCTTGGCAAGCTGGTTTGCAGTCCAGATTCAGAAGGGTTTGGAAACGTGTTTGAAGCTGATTCCTGTGCTGGGAAGGAAAGAGTGGCAGATGATGGATTTGTTACTGGTGATAAATGCAAGGTCTGCTCCAGAGGCTCTGTGCTGGAACCCATCAGCACAAATCCAGCTCTGCTGTGCTCCCCAGAGGGAACTCGGGTGTCCCAGCCTGTACCTGCCTGGCATTGCCCAGATAAAGCAGCACAGTGCCCAGCTCAGTGCCAGGATGACGGAATTTGTGATATTTAAATGATTCCCAGATTGTAGAAAGTCTCTGTCATTGCTGCCAAAGCAGAAGCCATCATTGGTCTGTGCTGGTTTCCAGGTTGTTTATTCTGTTTATCTCTCACATGTTCTGCTGCCCTGCCCAGCTCTGTCCTGCAGGGCAGCGTGTGGGGCTCTGCCCTCAGTGGGATGTGACAAACATTAAATACCAGAAACTCCCTGGGCTGGATTTACAAGAACGTGCCAATATCTGTCACCTACGTTGGACAGTGTGTCCCCAGCCTGAACCAACAGAAAAATGCCAACAGCACAGTGAGACATGGAGGGCATGAAGAAGGAGAAAAAGGACAAGGCACACCCAATTTCCTGCATCTTGTGCCCTTTGGACCCCTCATCTAGAATCCTAAAATTTTACTTTTGCACCTGTGCCACACTTAATTATTACTGATATCAAACACTCAGAGCTGGTAATTGATCCTGTAAGATTGAAAACTCTTTTCCATGGACAGAGATCACAGGCAGTGTCTCTGGGGGCTCTGTCCAGGGGGGTTCTGACCCCTGCCAGGGTCCCAGGGCAGCCAGAGGGAAGCTCTGGATTCCCACACCTGGGCAAGGCAGGAGCTCCCTGCAGCAGCTCGGGGCTCCCCATGCCCAGGGCTGCTCCCACAGCTCTGCCTGCAGGGTCCCAAAATGTCCCAAACTGCTCATCCCCCCTGGCAGTATCTTCCAGGGAACCAGCAGGGAAAGTTACTGGGCTGAAAGGATGGGGCCATGGAGAGGGGGAGTGAGGATTGTTTCCTTATATTGATGTCACTGAAGGAACCCACATTTGCATAAATTCTTCTGTTCCTACAAATGCATATTTATGTGGTATTAAAGCAAATGGGTTTGGATTTAATACAGCAGGAAGTGACAAATGCCAGCGCTCATTGGAATTTAAAATTGACTTTATTTGCAAATATCCACTGTTGCAAACTCCTACCCGAAATGTGCTCCCTGTGTGAAGGACAGGCTCTGGCTGCAGAACAGGATCCCGTTTTCTGGACCTCGTGCAGAATTACATTTATTCCATGAGCTGTCCATGGAGCCAGCAGGACACTCGGGCTCCTGCAGCAGAAGCAAGCCTGGAGCCCCAGCAGAGCCGTGCTGCAGCTCAGAGTGTGTGCAGGGATGGACGTGGGTCCTGCCTGGGCATGAAGGCAGGACAGGGATGGTGCCTAAGCTCCTCCTCAGACCAGATAATGCCATTCCTGGCGCTCTCAGGCTGTGCTCAGCCCCCTGTGCCACGCAGCTGCAGCTCGGGTGAAGTTCTGATGGGATTTAACCTGGCAGCAAGTTCCCGGAGGTTTCCCAGCCTGGGGAGGCAGGAGGATGCTGGTGGAGGTTTGGAGGAGCAGTGCTGAGTGGAGGTGCAGCTCCTGCCCTCCCTAGAGGACTGGGGCTTGTCCCCTGGCTTTGGGCTCTGGGTTCATCCTCAGTGAGCTCAAACTCTGCTGGTCCCTGGGGAGCTCCCACGGCTCCCCGGCCCCCCTGGCAGGAGCCAGGAGCTGGATGGGGCAGGAGCAGGGGAAGGAGCTCGGGGGGAGCCCAGGGGGGATTAATGAAAACTCCTTAGAGAACTTGGCCAGCCCTGGCAGGGGCTGCCCAGGGCAGGGGGACTCAGCAGCCCTGGCAGGGTCGGGAAGGGCTGGAGCTGGCACTGGGTGGGCAGAGCTGGGGGCTCAGTCCCTGCCTGCCCTCCCCACCAGAGGCCAGGCTGCAGGGAGTTCAGCCCAAATGTGAATTTCCCCGCAGGGAGCAGTGGTTGGCAGCTCCTAGAGAGCTCTCTGGCCTCTCAGGACCACCTTCCCTTGGCAGAAGGAAGGTCTGCCCCGCAGGTGCCAGCACATTTCCTGGCTGTGGCTCCAGTCTGCAGCAGGATAATTACCTTAAAGGCAGCGTTTCATCCAGACTTGTTTCTGATCAGCTGGGATCTTAGGAAATCTGAGGATCGGCAGACAGCGCTTCCCCTGCTTAGTTTTCAAATATGCTTTGGCACATAAAGACTTTGCTTGATCCTCTGAGTTAATAATTCTTCACAAAGTGACTTTTATTATGAGCACTTCAAGCGAGTTTGAATATGTCATTGTGGCAGGAGATGAAGATTTGAAACATGCTCTGCAGTCTGTGGGATTAATAAATTAGGGGAATGGTCTAATTATGGGAAATCTAAAGGACAATTTCAGATTATTAATGAAACTACTGAATACTTGAATTTCAAAGATTAATTCATCTTTGATTTTTTTTAAAAGATTAATCTGTACCAGAAGGTTAATTGCTATCTGTAAGAAATATATATACTGAAGTCGTTAGCAAAAGACCACTTGAATGCCTCCTAACAGATAAATGAAGGATCTGGAGTGCATTTATTAATGTTCTGCTCTCCCCAAATGGCCCATTTTCACAGCTGAGTGGGGCTTTGCTGCTCTCTCACTGCTGGGCTGCGCTGCAGGATGTGTGTCCCTCCTCCTCCTCCCTGCCAGGGCTGCCTCAGGGCTGGCTGTGTCTGCAGGGCAGGTGGGCAGAGGGGACAGCCTGGGGCTCTGCAGGGCTGGGGAGGGTTCTGGGGAGGGCTCTGGGGATGCTGGCAGCCCTCTCTGCCAGCTGCAGGCTGGGCACAGGGCTGGGGAGGGCTCTGCAGGGCTGGGGAGGCTCCTGCTGGGCTTGCTGAGAGCCACCTCCAGGGCTGAGCCCAGAGTGGCCTCCAGGCCCCTTTGGCATGGAGAGCAGAGCCCCTGTGTCACCTCCTTGCTCTCGGGCAGCTCTCCCTGCTGGAACTGCTCAGTGCCATGTCCCACAGCTGTCCCACAGGTGTCCCTGAGCCCCAAATCTGTCCCACAGCTGTCCCCAAGTCCCACATCTGTCCCACATCTGTCCCACAGCTGTCCTGAGCGAGGTGGGGCCAGCCCTGTGCCTGCAGGAGCTGGGTTTGCTCAGGGACAGAAGCTGCAGCCCCCAGCCCCACCCAGCACACGGATCCCTGCAGGGACTGCTCAGGGTCCCTTCCAACCCCAATACTGATTTTCAGCCCCTCCTGCCCTCCCTCAGAAGCAGAGTTATTTCCCCAGAGCATTTCTCAACAGAGGCTTGAGTTTCTCCTGGTTTCCCCTGTGTTTGCCACGAGCCCCTGGGTGTTCTCGCAGGCACCGAGCTGTGTGACACACCTGGTGCTTGTGTGTGGAGCTCTGCCCTGGAGCCTGGGCTGGATTTTGGGAAAGGTTCTTCCCCCAGAGGGTGCTGGAAGAGCCCCGGGTGACTTGGTTCTCTTTCCCTTCTCTCTCCTCTCGGGTGTCCCTTTGGTCCCACTCCTGTCCTGCTTGCTTGGAGCGGGCAGGACAAGCCCAGGAGCTCCAGACGTGGCTGTTCTCTGCTATTAATTACAAGGGCTTCCCAGTGGTGGTTCAGAAGGGCTTGCCTTCCTCAGGCTGTTGGGCTGTGCTGCTCTGGACTTGTGCAGCAGCAGCCAGGGACCCGAGCTTGCAGTGCTCCGAGCCCAAACCCAGCAGCTTTTGTGCTTAAAAACCTGAAGGATTTCGCATAAATGCTCGTGGTTTAAGAAGAGCAGGGTGCAGATGTATAGCAGCAGGGAGCTTTTTCTGACAGCTCCTCATTGATGTTTCATTGCTGTTTATATATTTCTTTTAAAGCCAATTTTATGTCCAGGCACAAGCAAGTCTAGACAGATTGTCTAAAAACTTTTATTGGCTAATTAAGATTATACTGCTGGTGTATCACTGCTGGATAGCAGGGACTCTGCTTAAGGAATGGCCTTTCTTTTTTGCTGCATGTGCCTTTTGCCAAGTTCTCTGTTATTCCTTGGGAGGGCTTTTTTCATACCTGTTTCAGTGACAAAAGCGAGTGCCACTTGAAGCCTCAGGTTTGGACACCTGAGCCTGGATCAAGGAGCCAGAGCACCTTGATTTGTTCCCATTTGTGGCTCCTGCTGTGTTGGAACTCAAGATGTCCCTCAGACATTTTTGGAGGTTCCAGGCCTTGGTCAGAAGCATTTGAGACCCTGGCAGGCAGCTGCAAACAGCTGTGATTTTGGGTTTGAGCCATGGAATGAGTTACCAACTTTGGAGGTGGAACAAACAGTCACAAAGGGTTAGATAGTGTAGTAAAAGTAGTTACAAAACAGAGGGGAAATTTTTTTAGTATTGTACAGGGGAGTTTTAACACTTGTACAGGG